CCAGGCAAACCAAGGGAATGGCCTTTCGCTCTTGCCTCTTTGTACAGTTAATAGCTGGATATTTTATTTAATAAGCCTCAGTGGCTAGAAAGATGTTTGCTCTGATGAACACTTGTGGCTGGTGGCTACCAGCTGCTGCACACATTTCAGCTGCTTGGGTAGGGTTGGAGAGCAACTATTTGGCAGTTTGGATTAGTCAGCAAAGGAGACAAAGGTTGAGTTTCTGGAGCGGTGCAGGAAGCCAGAGCAGGCAGTCTTGCTTTTGCTCTGGGGAGAACTGAGGGTGATTTTATGTCCAGCGTTGTCTGCCTGGCTGCCTCTCTATAGTAACTGGGACACTGGCGGCACTGGCGTCTAAACCACTGAGCCTCTTGGGCTTGCCAATCGGAGGGTCGGTGGTTCAAATCCCTGTGGCGGAGTGAGCTCCTATTGCTCTGTCCCAGCTCCTGCCAACCTAGCAGTTCGAAAACACACCAGTGCAAGTAGATAAATAGGTACCACTGCAGCGGGAAGGTAAACAGCGTTTCCGTGTGCTCTGGCACTCGTCACGGTGTCCTGTTGTGCCAGAAGCGGTTTAGTCATGCTGGCCACGTGACCCGGAAAGCTGTCTGTAGACAAACGCTGGCTCTCTCAGCCTGAAAGTGAGATAAGCACTGCAATCCCACCCCATAGTTGCCTTTGACTGGACTTAACTGTCCAGGGGTCCTTTACCTTTTTTCTTTTTTCTCTAGCTCCTGCACTTGTAAATAAGCAGATATTGCAGGGAGCTCATAAGCCAAGGATGGGGATTTTCAGGCCCAGTCCTCTCTCTCTGGTCCTCAGGACTTTTCCCCAGCCACCCACCTCTCTCTAGGCAGTGCCCCTCACTAGGCCTTCTTCACACCCTTCATAGGTGTTTTTGCCTGGCTGGAATGTCTCCTGGAACTCTGCTTCTTCCTTGCCTGGGTGGAGGATAAAAAAGGGTTTGTGAGTCTGTGTAGGAAGTAGCTGACTGTGCAAAGGCAAAATCCATAGGAACACCTGAAGCCAGCTTATAGCGAGTCCGGCCTTTGGTCCACCTTGCTTGAAATATACTCGGAGTCGAGAGTGGATTTCATGCTCTTTATTCAGCTCATAGTGGTGAGGAGGAATGGAAGTTCCCCCAGAATGTCTGCTTTATATACATTATTTACACAATGGCCCCACGTGATAGGCTAATTCCGGGATTCTCCTGTAGGCCAATCAGGTTACGGATTCACTTCCACCTGGAGCTGGACTGGGTGGCTCCTGTGGACCAATCAGACTGCTGCATTCTGGGTCTTATTGTTCTAGGACCAATCAGACTGCTGCATTTTGGATCCTATTCAACTCAGTACATAAAACCGCTCAATATTATCTACACCAGTAGTGTCCAAACTTTTTTCACAGAGGGCCAGATTTGATGAAGGGAAGGGCTGTGGGGGCTAACCAAAGGGCCAACCAAACTTGTTGAACTCTTTTTTAGGATTGAAGTTGTTAAGGTTTTTTCTAGGATTTTACCCCAGGAAATAAACTGCCACAGGGGCCAGATTAAACCGACCAGCGGGCCGGATTAGGCCCTTGAAACAGACTTTGGACATGCCTGATCTACACGGACTGGCAGCAGCTCTCCAAGGTTTCGGTCGTGAGCCTCTCCCACCCCTACGTGCAGATTCCAGGTGTTGAATCTGGGATGCATGCATCACAGATAATAATAATTTATTACTTATACCCTGCCCATCTGGCTGGGCTTCCCCAACCACTCTGGGCAGCTTCCAACAGGATATTAAAAACACAATAAAAGATCAAACATTAAAAACTTCCCAAAACAGGGCTGCCTTCAGATGTCTTCTAAAAGTCAGATAGTTGCTTATTTCCTTGACATCTGATGGGAGGGCATTCCACAGGGCGGGTGCCACCACTGAGAAGGCCCTCTGCCTGGTTCCCTGTAACCTCACCTCTCTCGGGGAGGGAACCGCTAGAAGGCCCTCAGAGCTGGACCTCAGTGTCCGGGCTGGATGATGGGGGTGGAGACACTCGTTCAGATGTTCTTTGACTTAACTACAGGTCGTTCCCACCCCCACCCCCCGCACACACAAATTAGTTCCACCAGAACTATTCATTGCTGTGGCCACTTTATTTGCCTCTGTCTTCCCCCAACTTTGGCATGTTGCCTTCAGAAAGTAGCCCAGAAGGGAATGTGGTTGGAAAAGGTTCTCTGTCTCTGTCACGAGCCTTTGGGTGCACACTGTTTTCTCAATGCTGTTAGATCTTGCCCTAGGGTTGCTTCTTTTGATGTGAGAAATATCACCCAAGAGGCTGGATTTGCATCTTTGAGGATGGAAATGACTGTGTATTCATCTGTCTGCGAAAAATCCAAGCAAGATTAAGCAGATCTGTTCTGCTAGTGCTTGGGCAGCTAATGATGTTTGCTCCAAAGCCACTTAAGAAAGCCAGAACGGAGAAGGTGGCTATCCCTTCTTCATTATATTTTGGCTGTTTGGCCGTAATAATAAACATTCAAACCTTCTTCAGTAATTCCCAGGCTGCATGACTGAGGAGAGCTGCCAATGCGCTGCTGCATGAAGGAAATCCATTAAGCGATTTAAAGGTTCTTTTCAGACCGAAGGAGTGAACCCTCCTTGAGGGTTTAAGGTAGTGATGTAAAAATTGAGGTTTGGCTTTTGCTGCCCAACTCCCCATGAAACTCTGAGTCCCCTAAGTCTTTGATCAGTCAGAGAAGAATGGATGGAGGCAGGATCCGGCGGAAAGCAAGGCAGATACAGTGGGACCTCTAGTTGTGGACTTAATCCGTTTCGGGGTTCCGTTCGCACCCTGAAAAGTCAGCAACTAGAGCACCTCTTCTGCACATGTGCACGGCGCGATCGAGCATTTCTGCGCATGTGAGAAGCACGCAGATTGCTTCTGTGCATGCGCGGGCAGCGAACCCGGAAGTAAACACTTCCGGGTTTGCCGCGTTTGTAAGCTGAAAGTCTGTAACAAGAGCGGAATACAACACGAGGTATGACTGTATTTATTTTTCTGTTGCAACAGAGTTCCCTTCCCTTCTTCCAAGGAGGGTGGAGACCCTGAACAAAAGTGTGCAGGAACCTTTAAAGACTTTTGACATTGCCCAACCCCCTTAGCCAAAGACCACCCCAAAATCATCATAAATACATCACAGAAGGAGGCGGTCTACAGCAGAAATCCGGTTTGCCAGGATACCTGATAATGGTCACTGATTGCATTACCTGGGCAGCCTGGCCATTCTTTTGTGATGGTTCATACTTTAGTTCCTGAATCCAGGTCACAGGCTCACCCTATTCCTACACAAATATGCCCTTAAGACAGGATGCATAAGCAAAAAGACAATGGGAAGGCTTTCACCATTTGCATCCCTTACTGCAAATGGGTCATTGGGAGAGTCAAAAGGGCTTCAGGATTGCTCTCCTATACTATTTAAGACACATGATTTATATATTTAGATATGTGTGCATTTATGAATATCTATTCTATATTTGAGACCTTAAAATTCTTATAACAGTTGCCACGTGTCCTCTGTTCGAAGCACAATCAGAGGACAGTCCAGCGGAAAAATGGTGACGCTTAAGAGGGGAGACAGGGGGCGCAGGGCCCCCCAGAAGTGAGCAACTGACAGCAAGCTGAGCAGGTGCACTCCTGATCCCAGTCTTTCCCGCAAGGCTGAGATGTATAGGCTGAGATGTATTTCCCGTTAAAGCACAGTAATAATTTCTAAAGCTGCACCTCTATGTATAAATTGGCATATACGACTCTTGTGCAGTTCTGTGTCCTCTTTTGACCCCCCTTTGTTGTTGATGCATTTTCTCTGTTTAGACAATGCATAAGCAGCAACCCTACAGCCTGTTGTATCTATGCATGATGGAGGGTGATTCTGCTGCAACGGGGGAGATTGAGGTTCCTCTGAGGAACCTGTACATTCTGTATCAGCCTGAATCTCCCTGCCCTGGGATTGCCTCCTTCTGAGGAGGAGTCACATTGTACGATGAAATTCAGAGAGTGGCCTCCTCTGAAGACTGGTAATTTTTATTCTTATACCCTTGGTACTTCAGACTGCCGTTCAGAAACATGTGCCGCATATTTCAGACTTTAAGGGATCTTTTACCCTGGTAAGTGTGTTTAGGGTTGCAACCTTATTGAAATGGCTATGCTTTAAAGCACTCTTGCTCCATTCTACATGCTCTGTGCCACATGAATGTGAGAACAGAGAAAGACCAGAAAGCGAACATGTGTGCTAAGCGTCTGATAATTCCTTTCTCCTTTCCAAAGCAGATTATCCAATATTGCTAATTCCAAATTCGTTTTGATCTAATTACCAAGGAAACCCTCTGGCAGATTTTTGTGCTTGCAACCACCCATGGCCTTAAAGGTCTGTTGCATTATTTCACCACTGATGGTATACAACAGAAGACAATATTCTGGGGATCCACTGGGTGTCTGGACCTGCTATTAGACAACTGCTGTACTCTTTTTGCTCTGCATGACCTGCTGCTCCCACCATGTGTCAGGGGCTCCCGGCTGATTGCCCAGGAAAGTATAAAGACAAGGGAAAGTTTCTTACCGCCCTTTTTTATTTCAGTATTTACAGAGGGAGGCTATAGAACCCAGCCTCTTGGATAATGGTCTTGTACTGAGTGAATCTCCATCCCCGTCTCTCCCACTTCCTCATTCGTCACTTCTATGGGTCCTGCTACATGCCCTCTGTCTTTGAGCTCTTTGCTCTCCTACTTTTAAGGCTCGCCGGGTTCTGGGAGATGGGCAGGGGTCTGGGATGCTTCCTAATAACAACGTGTCAGCCAGGTGTTGTTCCGGCTCTCCCATGATTTCCCAACTTTCCCCCTCATCTGCCTCTGAGCCGCAACCTCCCTCAGACCCCTGTTGTAAATCTATACTGTCTTCCTCTTCCTCCTCCCTGGAAGGGTCAGGATGGGGAGGTGATTTCCATCATTCCTCCTCTGCCCGGTCCCTGACACCAAGCCTCTAAGGGTTTCATTAACCACATTAAAAATCTGTTTATTCCAAATGGAAGAGAAAACCTGATGGAATGTAAAGCTACTTTAAATTTCAATGTATTACATGATCTTTCACATCCATTTTGCAGCCCTGGCTAGGCTGCCCTACAATACTGACTGAGGGCGCCAACTGCCTTTAAGTTCTGTGTCAGCTGACTAATGTCCAGAGGTTCCTCCAGATAATCTAGTTGCCATTCCCAGACCCCCACAGCACAAAAAGTGAAAAATCTGTGCACAGATTGAAAAATATGAGTGCTAAAAGCTGCCTTTGATGGCCAACACACACAAACAAGCGCAAGGGGATATTGTTGAGTGACGTTCTCCCAAGTCCATTTTATCTTGGCTGTTGTTGCTTCATTACATGCCCAGTTTGCAGCTCCAGCTGCATTCTCTGTGCCAACGCAAGTAGGTGCAATTTCACAAAGCCGCATGGCCCTGTTTCAAATTTGGCCGTGGCCCACTTGACCTTTGCATCCACCGAGGCAGTTTTGTTGCGTTAGCTAGCTCCGAACCACTGTCATTGCTCCAGTCAATTTGAAGTGGTTCATAGATACACCAGGCTGCCTTTCTTGATGTGTGCGATGTTTCTCTCCCCTTCTGGCATCTGGCTAAGAAATGCAGATGGTGCTGAAACTGTTTTAACTTCTGCCGCTACGCAGGGCGTCTCTTACACAAGAAAGGTGGTGGTGCCTCTCTCAGACCCTCTGCCAATTGTCTCCTGTAGATAACAAGACAGCATCATTAATCCTTTATGGGCTTTGACAGCTAAGCCTGAAGATGCTCAGGGTGTTCCTTTTGGCAGGCGATGCAGCTGTTCTTTAACTGCTTCCTGGCATGCCCCAGAATTCTAGCACGGAGGAGAGAACTTAGCAGGGCTCTGCCTGCTTTAAAGAGGAGCTACTGCTGTGCTAGATTGTGGGTTTCCATCTCCAGCTCTTTATTACCCCCTCGGCCACAGTGGGTAAGCAGCGGGTGCAATTATATTGTCCTGTCCTTTCTTGTTGCTGCTGCAACTCCCTCTTTCAGCTGTGTTCTGGGAAAGAATGATTCACAACTTTTGCCTCTGGCATATTCGGGTATGTGTGTGGGGGATAGCAGTGTTAACATAGGGAGGCAATTTTAGCCCACCATTAGTGGTCACCCTCCCAAAATTAACCTACCTATTCCAATAATAATAATAATAATAATAATAATAATAATGTATTACACTGGTCAACAACAAATTTGTTGTCTGCGTTTTTTCAGTTGATTTAGGACGAATCTGATGCGCTGAATCCAAAAATCACATTGGTTTTGCTCAGTCAGGTCAGGTTTTTTTACGTTTTTGTTCACATGTACGCTTGTGTGGAACATTTTAGAAGAAGTTGGTGGGGGTAAAATGCCATGTCGAATAATTGTTTTGATTGGAGATGATTATTTTAATGACAAGAAGTATTCAGGTCTGATAGTTCTGGGTGATTATGTCGAAAAGGGATCAGTTTGAAGTCATAAAACCTCGAAGTCTTCCATAAATTGGTGCGGCTGGGATCAACAGAAAGAACCGGAGCAGCCTCAAGTATCCTGATCTTCAATCAGCACGTCGTCCTGTAGCTCATTGTGATGAAATTCCAGTGCCTATCTTCGGAGAACTTCCTGACATTAGTGATGAAGATGCTGCCAGTGTTGAAGGACATGAAGAAGAAGAAGTGGTTCTTGAAGATGATGCTCTACATCCATTTTCCCAAAAGGAGTTGAATGATCTAGTTCGAGACCTCAGCTTGTCAAAGGACTCTGCCGAACTGTTGGCATCCAGATTGAAGGAAAAAAGCCTCCTCTCTGACAGTGCTCGCATCAGCTTCTTCCGCAACAGGCATCAAGAGTACCTCCCTTTTTTCTAGGAAGAGAAGGACTTGGTGTACTGTGCAGATGTTGCACAGCTTCTGCTCAAGCTTGGAGTGCCACAGTATGAACCCAAAGATTGGAGACTGTTCATTGACAGCAGCAAGCGATCACTGAAATGTGTTCTGCTACACAACGGCAACCAGTTTGCCTCTATACCCCTGGCTCACTCGAGTACACTGAAGGAGAACTATGAAGCGGTGAAGTATGTGCTGGAGAAAATTGGTTATGATCAGCATAAGTGGTTTATTTGTGTTGACCTGAAGATGGTGAACTTTTTGTTGGGACAACAGTCTGGCTTCACCAAGTACCCATGTTTTCTGTGCATGTGGGATAGTAGGGACCGTGCTCAGCATTACACGAAGAAGGACTGGCCTGTGCAGGAGGAATTGGTGCTTTGCAGAAAAAGGAACGTCATCAACGACCCTCTGGTGGACAGAGACAGAATACTCTTCCCACCACTGCACATCAAGCTCGGCTTAATCAAGCAGTTCACCAAGGCTCTGGACAAGGATGGTGACTGCTTCACTTACTTGTGCCAGGCTTTTCCAGGATTCACCATGGAGAAGTTGAAAGCTGGCATCTTTGACGGTCCTCAGATCCGTCAGCTCATCAGAGATCCAGAGTTCGGAAACTCAATGAACGAAGTGGAACTGGAAGCGTGGAAGGCATTTGTTCTGGTAGTGAAGAACTTTCTTGGCAACAATAAGGCCAGAAACTACGCAGAACTTGTCAACAACATGCTGACTGCTTTCAGAAACCTGGGCTGCAACATGAGCGTCAAGATGCACTACCTATTTTCACATATGGACCGGTTTCCTGAGAACCTGGGTTCAATGAGTGACGAGCAGGGGGAGAGATTCCATCAGGACATGAAAGAGATGGAGACCAGGTATCAGGGTCGCTGGGACGCAGTCATGATGGCTGACTACTGTTGGACTCTGAAGAGAGACCTCCCTGCCGCTGAGCATTCCAGGAGTTCCAAGAAATGGAAGTTCAAGCCCTGAAGTTTGAAAAATGGTGAAGCAATATGCAATTTACATGTACTTACCTTTATCAATGCCCACCATTCAGTTTACAGTAAACCTGACCTGATGGAGAGAAACGGATGCCATTTCCTGATTCAGCAGTGCAAAAATACCCTAAATCAGTTGTAGAAATCTAGACAACATTCAAAAAGTAAAAAATTGTTGCCCAGTGTTATTTATACCCCACCCATCTGGCTGGTTTTCCCCAGCCACTCTGGGCGGCTTCCAGCAAAAGATTAAAAATACATTAAAACATCAGTCATTAAAAACTTCCATAAACAGGGCTGCCTTCAGATGTCTTCTAAACGTCAGATAGTTATTTATTTCTTTTTTAAAAAATAATAATAATCTTTATTGCTTTTAAAACTTACAAGAAAAGAAGAAAGAAGAAAATAGGCGAAAGAAAAAGACAAAATAGAGCAGAGAAGGGAAAAAAAGAGAAAGAAAAGAAAAAACAATACAATACAATACAATAAACAATACAAAACACAACCTTAACACACTAAACTAAACAAAGCAAAAGAACAACAATTTAAAAACATATATCATACCATTTCATTACTCTATCTTTCATTCCCTTATTTCATCGACCTCCTCTCACCTCCCTTTTTGTATTCCACTTCTATTACTTGTTTCAGCAATTCCTTTCCATCTTTCTCTATTTTTGTCATTATGAATATCTTAACATATTTTGTACCTTATTTTCCATTAATACTGAAATACTTATTTATCCCTAACTCCTTATAACATTTCTGCTAAAGCCATAAAATTTCATTCCAACAATTTTCTAACACTCATTAAATTTACAATATTTCTATATATAAACTTTAAACTTTCCCAATCTTCTACCACCATCTCTTCTCCCTGGTCTCGGATTCTGCCAGTCATTTCCGTCCATTCCATATAGTTCATCAACCTGGAGATCTTCTGTCCGAGGCTCTTAAATCTTTTCCAAGTCCCTTCTGCAGTTTTTCTTCATATTCTTTATGCTGAGGGGGCTGAAGCGCAGGTCTTAGGGGGGCCCTGACCCAACCATGCCCCCATTCAATCTCGACAGACCAACCAACTCTCCACAGCTAAAACCAGTGTCCATACAATATCTCAAATCATGTTTCAAGGCTCCCCCAGATCCAAAGGCCCCCACAACTCCAATCACCTCCTGACCCAGATTCAGGACCCAAAGGTCAGTAAATCTCTGCATGAAAGAGTTTATCCAACCTTCCTTCTTCAATCCAAACAGGGCTCCAATCTTCAAATTCTGACTTTTTCTATATTCATTCATAAAAGGCCTCCACTTATAGTCCTCAGTTTGCCTCTGTAAAACTGGGGCTTCCACTTGTATTATTTTAGGTTTAACAACACCAACATTCTCCTTCGTCTTCTCCCCAGTTTGTCCTGTCAAAGTAGGTTCCTGTGTCAAATCCTGAACAATTTCTGTATTAATGGTCACTTTTTGTTCCAAATTAGTCACTTTTTGTCCCAAGTTCTCAAGTTTGGTATTCATAGCGTCTGTCTTCTTGTGGAGCTGTTCCAACGAATAGCTTATCTTACATAATACAGTCACTAAGGCTCCTTCTGTCAACATTCTTAAAGTCCAAGGTCGATCTCTATTTCATACAGTTCTTATCTTGCAACTGGAAAAACCCCAGCCCCACTCTTGTAACTGTTTCAAAAGCTCCCTCTAGAGGGAAACAGTCTCCACTTGTATCAATCCTTTCAAACACAGTTTAAACTATAAAGGTAGTTTCTTTTCCTATTTTTTAAACGCAGATGACTACAATGGAAACAATATATTTCTCTTATTGCTAGCTATCAAAAAACGTCACTCTTTCTGGCAGCCCATGGTTCGGAGCAGTGGTAATTTGGTTTTTCACTGTCTCCTGCAGGCTCACTAGGTCCAAAATTTCCCCCCTCTTCTCCTGCTTCCAAGGGGGGTTTAATAGTTTTAACCGATGGAGATTTAATCCTTTACAAAAATAAACTTTCCAAGGGTTTAACTTGCAACTTCTTTGCTTCAATCTGTTTACAAAAAAGGAAGGCGGACTTCCTGTTTAGAACCTTCCCGTTTCGATGCCAAATTAATGAATTTAAGGATCTAATTTTCCGTTCTACTCACGGGTAGTTGTTTAAAATCCAATTGTCCACAGGAAAAAGTCAGCACTCTCCAGCAACAGCGATGCGGCTTCACTCCGTGAAAGAAGCAGTCAATTCAAAGCACCGTGCCACTCACCCCACTTCGCTCCGGATCCCCAAATCAGGGTTTCCCCGCGAGTAGGGGAGGCGCAAAGGGTGCCAGCCGAATCCCAAGTTCACAGGCTTCTCCCGCCTGTGATTTCAGTGGGTCTCCGCCTTCACCGTGGCGGTCAGACCCTAATTTCCGCGGAGCAAATTCCTCCCGATCGGAGGAACTCCGCCATTGCCTGGAGGCACCAACCCGGAAGTTCGGAAGGAACCCGATAGTTATTTATTTCTTTGACATCTGAGGGGAGGGCATTCCACAGGGCGGGCGCCACTACTGAGAAGGCCCTCTGCCTGGTTCCCTGTAACCTCACTTCTCGCATTGAGGGAACCGCCAGAAGGCCCTCAGCTCTGGACCTCGGTGTCTGGGCTGAACGATGGGGTGGAGATGCTCCCTCAGGTATACTGGGCCAAGGCCATTTAGGGCTTTAAAGGCCAGCACCAACACTTTGAATTGTGCTTGGAAACATACTTTCAAACCCTCCCAAACGTTCCAAACCCTCCCAATCTGGATCCCCCCATCCCAACTCTGCAAATGGCAGAAAAAAACTACACTTGTTTATCTTCCCTCACAAAACCCCCAAGAATAAACCCCAAATACCTACACCTCCCCTCCTCAGTAGGAGGGTGGGGAATCCCCAAGATAGAACTATACTACATCATCAACTAAGTGCGCCACATAATCCCATACATTCTAGAAGGCGAGACAAAACGATGGGTACACCTGGAGAGAGAGACATAATCAAAAATACCTCCACCACAGCATGCCCATTCCTCCCAAACAAGCTGAGGAAAATCCCCACAACACTAAACACGTTCACACAGGCCATACTTTAAGTATGGAAGGAAGAAGCAGGTAGACTGTCCCCAACCCCATCCCCACTAACCCCCTGGCACACCACCCACTATTCCACCATGCAGCACAAAGCCTCCAGATAAAAACCTGGCAAGCCAAAGGCTGATACCGCCTAGCAGACATCTACAAAATTAACAAACCCATATCAACACAAGAAGCAATATAAAGTTATGATCGTGGTGAAAATGTTGGCCCACCCGCCCCTACCGAACAACCACCACAAGAAATACAACAAAGTAGACTTGTGTCTCCTTAAAGTCTAACAAACCTATTATAGCATAAGCTTCTATGGAGCATGGTCCACTTCTTTAAATGCATGAGTTACAAGTACAGTGGTACCTCAGGTTACAGATGCTTCAGGCTACAGATGCTTCAGGTTACAGACTCGGCTAACCCAGAAATATTACCTCGGGTTAAGAACTTTCCTTCATGATGAGAACAGAAATCACGCAGTGGCAGTGGGAGGCCCCATTAGCTAAAGTGGTACCTCATTTTAAGAACATTTTCAGGTTAAGAACGGACCTCCAGAATGAATTAAGTTCTTAACCCAAGGTACCACTGTATAGGTATGCATGGGAATTGTAAATGGTGAGGTCAAAGAGAAATGAATTGCAGAAAATACAGAGGGAGTAGGAATTATGGAGCTAACAAGGGCAATTCACAAAAAACTTGTTGATAATGCAGACATCCTGGCATAGGCAAGGCAATTGACACAAACAGTTGTACCGATTCAATCGACAAGTAATAGCGCCCAGCTTCTTGATCTGTTGAAATTCAGCAGTTCCATATTGCAGTTTCTTTGCAACTGACCTGAAGATGGTCATTTTTCGGAGTGTCCTGGGCTGTCAAAGTGTTGTGCCACCCCCTTCCCGCAGTTTTTTTGAATGTTGCAATTTATGGTGTCATCTTTGTGTCTATTGATTCTTTTCTGTAGAGATGAAACAATGGACCTGGCTAGCCCTGTGGAACCACGCTTGAAACCACAACACCCTACCATCACAGTGCTGAAGTGTACTGCTTTGTGGTTGGTAATCCTGCAGGATTAAGGAGGAGTTAAAAACGGCACTGCTCAAGTTGTGGGTTGACCACCTCCCTCATTCCTCCCTCTCCTCCCAATGGTTGCTTTGGGGAAGAAGGGAGGGTGAGCCTCTGAATGAGCTTTTTTATGATGAAGATGCAGCACAGGGATATCAGTATGATAAGATTCCTTCCTCACCCTAGACATTACCTAATAGACAGTAAAAGTGGTAACAGCGAGACTGGCATCTCAGTGTTATCCTTTGGGTTTTGTTCCCCTTGCGCTTTTGGGTTAACTTAGGAGCCACCCTTGTTTACAATGACTCCTGATTCCACATGCTAAAATGTGCAGACTGGATGTCTGAAAGATAAACAGGGGTGGGATGTCAAGTTAGCTGATGAGGCTCCTGAGAGTGGTGACATTTCATTCTACCGAAAAGGTTGTGAGGCCTTTGGGGCTGTACGGCCAATCTCTACACTTTGGGAAACAGACTATGGCAGTACCCACCACCCTCAAACTTCTAAGTAACCTTTCCTGTATTGTGTTGTCTGCCAAGGAATTCCTGGACTGCATTCCACCCACCTGCAGACAGAACCTGGGACTTGAACCAGGAGCCTTCTGGTCTTCATGCAGAGGAGCTAGTTGGACCCTATGGCTGATCTGGTTTAGTTCCATGGCTTCCTTTGGTGGAAAGCTGCCTTACTGCTCAGAGGAGTCCTGCTAGATTCATGCTCCTTGCTCCTTACTCCATTGCATTAAAAATCTGCTCAAATGCCACAAAGAGTCATTCTGTCCCACTTCATTCCAAAACCTGCCGACTCATTAACAGTGTTGTCCTTGCAAATGTGCTCAGGTGGGGGAATGAGATCCCACAGTACACAAGAACCAAAACAAACGCTGCAGGTAACAGGGGAGAGTTTTGTATCTTGAGGTACAGCACCACCTACTGCTTGAGATACTATCTTGCACCTTTCAACATTTGTGTCAGTGAGCAGAGGCACCAGTAAGGGAGTAAGCAACTATCGCTGGGAAATGTTAGGAAAGTTTTGTTCCAAGTCGCCTGATTTAACTGACCACTTCATCAAACTGAATTTATATGTTCAGTGCTGGAACTCTTTATTGTAGGGTGCTTATTTATTTATTTTTTATAAAAGTTTTGCATCAACAGAGGACCCCACCAGTGTTGGGGCTGTCTATGGAAGCATGGGGGAAATGGTAGCTCAACTGCTTAGATTGTTGGTTGCAGATTCGATACCCATATGGGTCAGCTGCATATTCCTGCACTGCAAGGGGCTGGACTAGATCATTGGTTCACAATTAGGGGTCTGTGGAACACACCCAGGGGGTCTGCGGCCCCATCCTTTGCCCCCCCAACTAAATTTTTGTCATTTCTGATAATCAAAAGGTGACATGCTAATCACCATATGACTTATTAACAGTAGTGATGATGATGATAAGCTGTATCCAGCTATGTTTAATGGACCCAGACTAGGGCTTATCCACACTTTTGCTTGACCCATATTTGGATTGGATTGTGTACACATTAATTCCCTTGCCTAGTGTCGTTCTGTGGCTGTGCCTTGCGAAACTCCTATCTCACCCGCTGAATTGAAACTCACTTAAGCACAAAAACACATCTGATAAGATTCAGTTCGGCTCCCACAGATCCATTTTCTCCCCCCTCACACCCCAAATCCATGTTAGAAAAGGCTATTGAACTCACTGGGTCACCTCTCTCAGAGAGTTGGAAAATCCTTCCGTTCATCAGGCGCAGAAAACATACAGTGGAATGTACAGAGGGTTTTTTTGGGGGGTGGGGGGAGAAGGTGTGATCCAGGCCACATAGTCCCTTCACAAATTCACTGAACCCTGATAAGAGGTTGGTGTGTCATAATCTGTTTCTTCCTCCCTCTTGGTAGACAGCGTTCCTCCAGATAACTTAATTGGAGGAGTAAAAGCTGCAGGTGCTGTTGACTTGAAGGAGGAACTTCCCACGAGGAAGCAACTTGCTCTATAAATGATAATATATGACATTTCCATTGATAATGCTTCTTGCTTGCCCCAATGGGTGCAGGGGCAGATTTTGGAGATGTGGTGCCCTGAGGACAAAATCTGCCCTGTGCCCCTATTTCTTATTTTCACAATCATTCCTTTTGGTACGTGTGGTACTGATGACTGAATACTGCTTTCTGAGTTGAAACTTGCAGAAATGTACTAGGAGCCAATGTAGGTCTTTCAGGAATGGTGTTATATGGTCTCGGCAGCCACTTCCAGTTATCAGTCTAGCTGCCGCCTTCTGGATTAATTGTAGTTTCCTGGTCACCTTCAAAGGTAGTCCCATGTAGAGCGCATTGCAGTAGTCCAAGCGGGAGATAACTAGAGCATGCACTACTCTGGCGAGATGCCAGGGGGTTGAACTTGAGCTCTTTTGCATGCAAAACATGGGACGTGGGATACAAATTCTGTGCTCGCTACATTTGTGGGATGGGGTGGGTGTGTTTGTTCCTGAACCTATGTATGTCCTCTCCTAACCCTTGCAGGCTAGAGAAAAATTCATATGACCCTACTGGAGGTGTTGGGTAATGACTGTGGCATTTCAACCCAACAGGGCCTTGATCCTTGGTTATTTTTCTGCTTTGTGTTGATATTTTTTAAGGGACACAATTTATAAAGAGGGCAGCATCCACTTCCAGTTCTGCAACCTGAATCACCCCCCGCTCAAAACAGGTCCCAGAAAGAAGCCTGCTGGTAACTTTTCTTGCCCTTCTGTTCCTTGTCCCTAGAGTGATGTTCTGCAGCGGCGTCCATGATGTTCAGCCTTGGCACATGCTCTCTCAGCACTCACATGCTCCCCGAATCAGGCTCTTACCCTCCCGGCGGCAGCCCTGAACTGGACAGCGACTCGCAGAGGTGCATGCTGGCCCTGCCGGAGGAAGAAGCATGGCGGAAGCACCGGCTGGGTTTGATGCAGCCCGCTCAGTCCTGCAGCCTGCTGGAGCCGGAGACCTTGACGGACACGCTCGTCTCGCGCACCACCAGCTTCGACGGCCTCTACGAACTGCACTCCCAGGAGAGGGAATCCAGCTTGGGGTTGGAGGGTGGCAGTACATTGGATGTGGGGCAGAGCCAACTCATCCCCGTGAGCCCAGAAGTCATCAAGCGTCGGCGAGGGGGCCTGATAGAACAGCGGGATATCATCAAGGCGCATGAAGCCCACAAGATGCAGAGCACGCCGCAGGCGAGGCGGAAGGAGTGGGAGTAAGTACATGGCTGAGGTCACAGGCTGTTCCTCCCCGTCCTCTGAGATTGACAGGGAAATGGGCTCTTAGTCCCCTCCTTTCCAGGGGTGAAATTTGGTAGCGGCTCAGAGCAGGGACTTCTCAGTACAGTCGTACCTCAGAAGTCGAACGGAATCCGTTCCGGAAGTCTGTTCGACTTCCAAAATGTCTGGAAACCAAGCGTGGCTTCCGATTGGCTGCAGGAAGCTCCTGCAGCCAATTGGAAGCCTCAGAAACCACGCCAGACGTTCAGGTTCCAAAGAACATTTGCAAACCAGAACACTCACTTCCAGGTTTGCGGTGTTTTGGAGCCAAAACCTACGGGTGCCAAGGCGTTCGGCTTCCAAGGTATGACTACATTAGAGCTGGGTGATACCTGGTTTTCAACATTGTGATATATCACCAGCTAAACATCGTGATATATTGATATCTCACCAGGGCTTTTTCCCTCCAGCTGGAACTCGTTGGAACTCAGTTCTGGCACCTCTCAGGTGGGCACAATTGCCGTTATAAGAGAACAAGGGAGGTGCTCATGTTGAGTTCTGGCACCACTTTTTCTAGAAAAAAGTACTGTATATCACAATGTCTGAACAGAGGATGGAGCTATGTAGAAACATTGGCTGGTTTCATGGTTTTCCCCACATTGTGATTTTTGCATAGCACGTACATACATGCATCATGATTCGCGATATATTGCCAGGTTAAAAACTATGAAACTGATAGCATGATACAGATTTCAAACCAGTTTTGGATGGTATCTTGCCCAGCTCTTCCCAGTACCTGAACTGGTGCTGCCTGGGAGTGTGAGGAAGAGGCCATGTCACCATTTACCATATTTTTTGCTCCATAAGATGCACCTGACCATAAGACGCACCTAGTTTTTAGAGGAGGGGAAAAAAAATTCCAAACGAAACAGTGGATGTATGATTTTTGTGGTTCATGCTGTGGCCACAGACATGTGATCTGATGGTGAATTTGGGGTGACCCAATGCACAAATCCTGAGTATCCATGTGGATCCGTGCTTTGTAACCACGTTTTTGCGCCATTGCAGCCCCACGTAACAGTGGGTGCATGATTTTTTTGGTGCAGGCTGTAGCCATGGACATGCTATGTGACCTGATGGTGAATTTGGGGGTGAATTTGGGGTGACCCAATGTAAAAATCCTGTGGATCCATGGGCTTTTACCTCCCCCCTCCCAGGCAGCCTCTGCTAAGTCCCTTATCTCTCTTCCGATCCCACTGATCAGCTGCTTCCTTTCAACACTCCCTTCCCTCTTGTTTGCCTTAGTGTCTTTTCCTTAGTTTTTTGCTCCTCCTTTTCTTCTAATTTCTCTCCTTATTGCTTTAGTCTTCCTGTTTCTCCCCTTTACAAGTTTGCTGTCTTTACCTCCCCCCTCCCAGGTAGCTTCCTTTATCTCTAGCGTCCCTTATCTCTCTCCCCGATCAGCAAACAATCAGCAGCTTTGTTCCAAACCCACTTCCCTCTTTAAAAAAAAAAGCATGATCTGCTTTTTGCCCCTGGGCAATTTGGCTCCAGGGACCACACATTCACTCCATAAGACGCACAGACATTTCCCCTTACTTTTTAGGAAGAAAAAAGTGCATCTTATGGAGTGAAAAATACAGTAATTCCAACTTGACTGCTTGTATGGGAGAGAGTTCTTTCACCAGCGTGGGCCATCTGGCTTTGCTTGATATTACTGTTGCTACGGAGTCACAATATGTTTATTTAGTATTTGGATTGTTAAGTTCTACTTTTTGTACAGCACATGCCTTACATGCAAATTATCCCCTGTTCATTCCTGGTCAAATTCAGGCAGGGCTGCCCAAAAACCTGGAGTAGCTGTGTCAGTCAGTGTTGATAATAGTGAGTTGGATGAGCCAATGGTCTGACTTGGTTTAAGGCAGCTTCCTGTGTACTTACCTGATTTTATTGTGTGATGCCTTGCATTTCGAGTAGAAAAGCATGCAATAAATTTTAATAATGGTGATAGCAAGTCTGGAGGGAGCAAGAAGTCACTGGAGGACAACTCCTTGTTTTCAGATGATAACCTTCAGCATCGCAGGAGGTTTGACCGTTTGGAGTCTTTCCAACTCTACAGTTCTATGAACTTCTTGACCAATATGGACATCACATCAAAATGCAACTCTTGTTCACATCTCCCCACCCATTCTTCTTTGTCTGCACTCAACCTGGGGTCAGTGATCTCGAAGAAAGCTGTTCCAAAAATATGGCAGCTGGTCAACATCCTCAGGGTGAAGTTGAAGCTCCATCCACAGCTTTCTAAGAGTACCAGAAGCTGCCTTCTACTGAATCCAACCATTGGGCCAGCTAGCTTGGTGTTTGTTGTCTGTACTGACTGGCAGGGCCTCTCCAGGGATTTCTTAGCCCTACCTGGAGATGCCAAGGGTTGAATCTGCCACTTTTTGCATTGTGAGGGCAGGGCACAGAATGTTCTGGTGCCCTATGCTCCCATTTTGAAACAAAAAAACAAAAAAATGCAAAACATTTCCCAGGCTGGATGGTTTTGAGTTCTGGTCTGATCTAATGCAAGGTTACCAGATGTCCCCGTTTCCTGGGGACAGTCCCCGGATTTACAAATCAGTTCCCTGACAAAATCCATCTATTTAGTAGGAAGTTGAAAAGTGTCCCTGGATTCATTGAAAAAAATCTGGTAACCTTAATCTAATGCACTCAACTCTTGGAAGGCTTTGGAGACAGTGCAGCCAGCTTCATAAGGGAGGGAAGGAGTATTTTACACCCCCCCCCAATGTTCCTGATCCAGTCAGCCACAGCTCTTCAGTCCCCTCATTTCTCCTTTGCCTGTCCTCCAATGGTCAGCCAGCATGGACAGTCCTTATTGAGCTGCTTTAGTGTTTACACAAACTTAGGACTTACTTTCCTAAATATTGTTGCACCTCAAGCCTTTTGGCATGCCCAAGCCTATTAATATATCCTGTCTGTGGGGGGTGGCATTCCATTTTGCTTCTATAAGGGTCCATATTCAGAGAATTGAGTTTGCCATTTGTATATAGGATGTTTGCTATGATTCTATAATATGCATAGGATATATTACATACTAATATACTGATAATTCATATGATATAGTTGGGATTCACCTAAGAAGCTCTGTCAGCAGAAGCCTGTGCAAGGACTTGCACTTATTCAATCCATCTCTCCCCCCCTCCAAATGGACTCAAGGAGGGGGTCAAGAGAAACCCCAGAACAGCATACAGGTGGGCAGAGGGGGGCGGGTCATACTGTCTGGTGGGCTGAAATGTTCCTAATAGTATGGCGTTGAATTCCACCCTATATAATGATTTCTGAAAGTTTACGCTTCAATAAAGTTGTTGTTTGATCTGCCGGGGAAAACATACAAGTACCCATGAATCCTGTTTTGTTTTCCCCTGCAGGGCAAATGGCAGCTTTAGTAGAAGGGAGTTCAGTTGGGGAAATGGTGTGTGTAGAAAAAGGGTAAGTGCCTTTCTCTCTCAGCGCCACAATCCTGATTAATAACTGCGCTCCTGGCATCTTCTTTGATTGCAAAAAGGCACGCAAGGGATCCTGGTCACAGACATCCCATAACCCGAAGTGGGTGGCGGGGTTGGGTTGGGTGCCATTCTCAACTTGGCAGCTTTCTGGGAGGTGGGATTGGCGTGGTCTAAACGCTCTGGTGGGATTGATTCCCCCTTTTGAGAAACCTTTCCAAGGATGCCATGGAATCTGTCTGCTTGCGTTGACATTAGCTGCCAAGCAAGAGACAGTCTCCATGGCAGCTTTGCCTTGAATAAGTCAAGCCTTGAGCAGAAGGGGGGGAAAAGCCCCCTCTCCCTAATTGCGCTGGAGAACAAATAGAGAGAGTTGCTCCTGAACACCCCCACCCCCACCCGTCGTCAAGCATTGCTAAGCAACTGGGAACTTGCATTCCTCAACCCCTGGAGACGGTGGCGACTCTTTTAAACAGGGGTTGTGAATATGCACATATACACACATAAATATTAGACAGCCAGAAGCCTTGTGGCTTTGCGTGGCCTCCAGGGCTTTGCAGTTGATCCCAGCACAGCCCTCAACCCCAAAGGACTCCCCTTTCATGGGGCAACTCAGCTGCTTCTCCCGGGCAAGACACAGGCAAAAATTCTCTTTGGGCATTTCCTCGCACCAGCAGCTGGTGTACCTTGGAAATGGTAGGACAGAATGCTGGGAGCTCAGCCTACACTCAAGTAGGACCCTGGTAGAGACACATGCCCAACTGGCATGTTCTCTCCCTCCTGGTCTTTCGTTCGGGAGCTTCAAAAGCTTTCTTCAGCCCGAACATCACAGTGACGCCAACCAACGCTGGCACACTTAGGGATCCGCAAAGTTTGCACATCATGCGTAACAGACCTCAGCAACTCAGCTTTTGGGCTAAACTACTTTATTTACATATAAACACACACAGTGCACTGCAACATGGCTCCCTCTCTCTCTAGCGGCAAAGAGAAAAAGAACAAAGGACAATAGTCCCACTTCACGGAACACAGTAGCACAAACGTCCTGTCTCCTTCACTTCCCACTCTGTGGAGTCAAAACATATACCATCATGAGAAAGACAACAATCCCATGACTGCAATCATGGAGCAGGAATTCTAACAAGGCACTCAGTGAAGCCAGAGCCAATGACATAACAACAACAACAACAACAACAACAACAACAGCAGCAGCAGCAGCAGCAACCACCACCTAGCCACTCTGGGTGGTTTACAACACACACAAAATGGTAAAACATTAGGCATTAAAAATTTCCCGATATAGGGTTGCCTTCAGAAGTCTAAAAGTCAGATAGTTGTTTATTTCCTTGACATCTGATGGGAGGGTGTTCCACGGGGTGGGCGCCACTGCTGAGAAGGCCCTCTGTCTGCTTCCCTGTAACTTTACATCTTGCAGTGAGGGAACCACCAGAAGGCCCTCAGCAGTGAACAATGGGGTGTGTGTGTGGAGATGCT